TGTGTGTGTGTGTGTGTGTGTGTGTGTGTGTGTGGCGGGGGGGGGGGGGACATGGAACGACCAGGCAAAGCTCTAAAACCTCGAACGACCAGGCAAAGCTCTAAAACCTCAAAGTCGGTTCCCCAGCGACAAGCTTATAGCAGGCAGTACCTTCCAGGAAAATAAAAATACCTAACCTCTGCAAACAGCGCCACCAACTGACAGCCAGGTGTAATGCATGAGTCTACAAGGACATTCTCAGTCAAACCACTGCCAACAGGGTGTATCTATCATAAGACGCTAATGACAATGTGCTTGACTCTGTAGACTGTTGGAATATATCCAACAGTCTAAAGATTTCAAGCAAAGAATTGCCACCAAGAATTCTGCTTTGTTGCAAAACATCACTTCCCTTCCCCTGCCCTACTGCCCGCAGCTCTTTCCATCCACAATGACAAGAGGACAAAGCGAAGCATTGAAAATCTGCTAACCTATGCTGCCAGACCGTGTAGATCATGGGTCAAAATATCGAAAACCTGTGGAGCCCTGCTTGATTCCAGCGTCTTGGTGTTTTAAAACAGATATTGCATCACTCTCAAACACAGCTATTGAAATTTAAACAGTATAGAAAGTTCGATTCTCTCAACAGAGGTTCTAGAGGACCATCCCAGGCCTTGGCATAATGCTCAAAAGCAAAGAGTTGTTTGGTTGTCTGTAGTATATGTAGGGATGGATTAAGGGACTCACTGGGACCTGAATCCATCCATATTCAGAGTACTGATGGGAGCATTAGGTTGAGGCAGAGGAAGAACTGAGAGGGAACGAGAAGTGTGCATAATTAACAATCATGGCCCAGGTGTGGTCCCCTGGCTCATTGTCTCCACTCCAGCCCTGTAAGGTGGGGGAGTCCTCATGCTTTGGGGAAACAAGAAGGTTCTCCTAAAATGATTATTTCTGCTCCAGGCCACAGTCTGAGTCTCCTGGGAACTGCCCTGGAGCCTGTCAAGCCTGGGAGGAAGCCGGGGACTCCAGAGGGAGGCTTTAAGACAACGTCTTTATCTTTCAGCCACAGCAAAGGAGGTGACAGACCCAGAGTGAGGGCACCAATGGCAGGCTTCCACAGGGCTCTTAGTTACCCAGGGGACTTGGGGCTTCCCGGCAAAAGCAGCCTCCAAAGAGCTGCTTCGATGGCTCAGCACATTCATCTGCGAGCAAGCACATTTTTAAGCGCAGAAATCTTGCCTTTTTTCTTTCTCAGTTCTCTTACAGCTCTCCCACATGCTTCTAATGCTTGTGTCTCAAGTCTTCCTACTAGTACAGCGTTGTTCTTCCCCGCCACCAAAATTATTGTGAAGACCGACTGTTTTTTTTTTTTTTTCTCTTGAAGATGGTCAGTGTTCCATGAACCATCTTTGAAACCCTGTGCACGTATCTGTCTGTTTGACCAACTCCAGGACACTGGTCCAACTAGACTCTGCCCTTCCCACCTGCTAGATTCTGAAGTTGGGACCCCAGCAGTGGGGTGAAACACAGTCACTGCCCTGCAGTAGGATACAAACTAAATGTTCCACCCCTCATCCAAGTGCTGGCTCGCCTGGTTGGGACTGCTGTGCATCTTTTTGGAAAAGTAAATCACCTTGCCCAGTTGCTTTCTCTTTGTTTATGTGTCTCTTTGTGTGACCCCGGGGATATTTTTTTAAATACGGTGAATACACATTAAAATTTAATTTTAAATATTCTCTAACAATAATTGTTGCTTGGCTGAATTGTCACTACTGTTTGCACATGATTTTCCATATATACATTTTGATTATAAGGATATTGGTAGAAATTCATCCCTTATTGAGGTTGATGATGAATGTTCACGTGGATTTTGTTTTTTTACTACTCGATGTTTTATTTTTAAAAGTATAACATGAACTTCATTTCTCTGAAAGAAAATCTTAATGGACTTTAGTCTTGAAAATGTCCTTCATATAAATATATAATTGGGGCTTAGAAGAGTTTGTTACTGACCTTTGGAGTCCCAGTCAGTGCCCCGAGCCAGGTTCAGCCACAGTTCTCAATAAGCTAGCAAAAAAAGCAGAATTGGAAGTAGAAAGCAGAAAAGGGAAGAGGGTCAAAGGGACCCAACAAAGCCCATGAGTCTGTCCTTAGGTCCTGAAGTGAGATCAAAGTTTCAACAGAGGGCCAAGGCTGTGCACATCCGAGCAGTCATAGCCAACGCATGGTCCAGTACACCATAGACTCATCATTACCGGGGCTTCGGTCTTATCCCACATGGCAATCTAACAAGTTGTTAAAATTATGTAAAATCTCTTTCAGGGGGAAAACAAGTTTCTGCTCTGGCTGGCACCTTCCCTTTCTCCCAATCTGAGATTCCTGGGTGAATTCCCATCTCCCTGGTGCCTACTGTTTTAATAGCCCGATGATCTGACTGAGACCCAAGTGTCTCTGTGGAATACCTTCATTCCTGCCAGGCCTGATACAAGATGTGTTATGTCGCTGGGTCTGAATTCGTGGAGTTCCTTCCAACTTACATGCCAAAGGTGACAGCAGTTATCTGTCATTTCTAAAAAAGCTGCAATTAATGGCTTATCAGCTGGTAATTCCTCTGGGTCCCTTTTCAACTTCACTGGAATTGGGAAAATGGAAATCATTTGACTTGGAAAAGGAGCTAGTACTGTGTCCTTATTGGCACCATGTTCTCAATCTCTGAGAAGGCACCAGGGGGTTTACTAGGAGTACCACTAGGCTGCCTGTTTGTGTCGTGCTTGCCAGGTAAGTCCTGATGGGGAGGGGGGCACCTTCCAGGGGCCTTGGTTAATGGTTTTTAGAGGGTTTGCAAGTGGTCATCCACTATGGTAACAGGGAAGGAAGGGACTGGCAAACAGTGAGTGGGTTCACCCTTAAGCTCAGTTTTGTAAAGGTGACTATGGAATGTCCTTTGATAGAGCAGGGAGCCAGGCAGCGAAGAGTAATGTCTATACTATGAAGGAAAGGACCACAGGAAGTCTCCATGTGAGAGAAGTGCCTTGATGCTTAGGGTGAGTTTCTTGCGAGCACTCTCATAGGTACCTTCAGTTGATAACTTGCTGTATCTGGAGAGAGGGAACCTCGGGTCAGGAGTTGCTTCCATCTAACTAACCTGTAGGCATGTCTGTGGAGGTCTTTTCTTCATTGGCATAGCAGGGCCCAGCTCTCTGTGGGCGGTCCCATCCCTAGGCATTTGTATCAGTTGCTTTCCTGTTGTGATAAATGATAAATGATAAGACCAGAAGCAATTTAAGGAGGGGTGATTTGGACTAAAGTTCAGGGGGCGTAGAGTCTGTAATGGTGAGGGAAGTATGGCACGGTGGTGGGAGCAGGAAGCTGGCACACTGCATTTCCATCCAGACTCAGGAAGGAGAGAGAGAGAGAGAGAGAGAGAGACAGAGACAGAGAGAGAGACAGAGAGAGAGACAGAGAGAGACAGAGAAATAGACACACAGAGACAGACAGACACACACACACACACACACACAGAGAGAGAGAGAGAGAGAGAGAGAGAGAGAGAGAGAGCAGCAAGCATGGCAAGACTTTAAACCATCCAAGCCCAACCCAGGCTCCACAACAGTCCCAAACAGTATCGTCAGCTGGGCACGGAGAACACATAAGCCTATAGAGAATGTTTCTCATTGAAACCACCACACTGCTGATACTTATAAACTCCACACCTCGAGCAGTCTGCCTCAGTGTCCCTTGAGAGCATCTACAGACAGTTGTGGAGAGCTGCTTTCGGGTAGTTTCTCAGGCGTGTCTGTTAGGAGGTATGCGAACGTGGAGGCTCTGGGAATGATCCGTGCCACGTCCACGCGCCACTCGCCACTCGCCGCGTCTTTGCCTACTCGTTTTCCTATTTTGCGAAAGAGGAAACGGTTCTAATGATTTCAAGACACTTTTTTGTTTTTTTAGCACCATTGCCCTCTAGGAAGTGGAGTTCACACTCAGTGCTGAGACCAACAGGGAGGGGAGCACTGTCACGGGGGGAGAGGGGGTGTGGAGAGACAATGGCCAGAGAGATCTTTGTGCACGAAAATGTTCTCAAGGGTCAGAGTGGAGATTGGCCAGAGAGACACTGAAGAGAAAAGCACTTTGATGGAAGAAGAATGGACAGTGGGCAGAGAGGCCTCTGTGCTCTCCTCCATGTTTAGACCGGCTTATCAATATTTTCTAAAGTTTCAGGAACAGACAACTTCCTTGAGGAAGTATTTTCCTATTCTGATGACAGACAGGCCTATTTTCAGAAAGCCTCCGGGTGCGTAATAATCTTAGAACCTTTTTAGCAGTTGAAAGTGATATGAGTTCCAAGGGCTTGAGATATGACTCAGACCCCATGCTTTTGACCCAAAATTATGTAGTAGAACAGATTCAATAGAATTAAACAAATCTACAAAAAAAAATAGTTTGTGCTCTACCAGGAGCAAGCAGCCTTCCTTTCAGGGTCCCTAACAAAGCCCCCTGCCTCTACCTCCCTACCTCTCTGGGATCCAGCCCCGTCCTTCCCTGTGATGTTTCAAATTCTAAGGAGAATCAGTTTCACCTTCTTCTTATTTTCATACATTAACGGTACTTCAATTACCAAGGAGGTTAAATTGCAATATTTATTCTTCTTTAAATCAGTATGTTGTCAGGTACACAGGAGTTGGAGTCCAGAGCTGATACGAGACAGGCTCCACCCCCAGTGATCTTCTAGCTTGCTGGTTTCTGCCTAGCAACCTAACGCTCTCTCTCTCACTTGCAGTCCCGGCATGGTTTGTGTGGTCATTGTCCTTCAAGGAAGTTATTGCTCTGTACTTAGGTCCTCATATTTCTGCCTCAGTTTCCTTGTATGTCAAAGAGCTTAGAAAACAGAAAATGATAAAGAAAAATGGACTCGTTCACAGTTTGTCCAAAGCAGGGGGAAAAAAGAATTCTAATGTTCTCCCCTGATGCCTGAGGCCACCTTACAATTTGTAGAAAGTCTTTAGACAAGGGCTAGAAATTTGTAAATGTAACAGACACATGTTTGTCCTTCCCTGGAAGCAAAGGGGTCCAGGACACAGGTTGCCTCCATTGTCTCTGCTCTTGTTTGACAATACAGTTTTATAACTGAAGTCAGAGAGGAGGAAAATGGGGTCTTAAAGACCATCTGTTCTTGAAAGTAAAAATAGTCTCAGGGGCTTTGTGGAATGTAAGATCCCCTCATCCCAGACCTGACATAGTTCTTTGGCTCTAGGTTCATTCTTCTGAGAGCTCTATTATAGATGTAATTTGGAATTTTTCTCTGGATATTCTCTTGAACTCCTCTTGCATATCCATTAAACACACTGTGATTGGTAGCGTTAATTGTCAACTTTACAGAATCTGAATTGTGTAGGTGCCAGGCCTCTGGACATGCCTAGTGGGTAGTGCCATTCCCTCATTGGGATCCTGGACACCATGGTGGAGAAAGGGAGCTGAGTGACATTCATCCGCTGTCCATGCTTCTTGACTGTGGCTGCAGTGTGATGAGGGACCTCAAACTCCTGTGACTGAAGCTTCCCCATTATGGCGGACTGAAATCTAGACTGGTGAGCCACAGTGTACCCTTCCTACCTTAATTTACTTTTGTCAGGGCATTTAGCCCGGTCAGAGGAAAAGAAGCTAGGTTACACTGTCGTGAGGCACCATCAAAAACATAGATGAACACGTCCGTGTCTTTTCACGGTGCCAGGAATCATCAAATAACAAATTCACAAAGTGCAATAGTTTCATTGGCAGCAGCTGTCCAGATAGCTCCACTTCGTTCTCAGCCCTTGCCAAGGCAAATGCAGGTTATCTTACTCCAGTTTTAATTACTCATATTAAATTATTATTATTATTTAATTACTCATCAGTTCACACATTCCATTTCTCACAACAAATCTCTCTCCTTTGCCCTGCTCTCTCTCTCTCTCTCTCTCTCTCTCTCTCTCTCTCTCTCTCTGTGTGTGTGTGTGTGTGTGTGTGTGTGTGTGTGTAGGTTACATAATTCCATCTTGGAGGGAATCTCTTGAGACACAGGATGTTAAAGGAAGATTAAGTCTTAAGTCTTTCAACCTACTAGGCAAGACCAAGAAATGAGCACATCAGAGGCTGCAGGAAGTCCCTGAAACTGGCTAGATCCAGTCTGTTCCTTTCTTCCCAAGCACACACATAGCAGTAAGGACGTCTGAGAGACTCTCAGACCAGCCCAAGCCACCTAAAAGCAGGACTACCTGAGCTGCCTAGAAGAGGCTCAGACTGGTCAAGCTTCCTGGAAGGGGCGCAGCCCAACTGAGCTGCCTGGAAAAGAAAGAAGTTTCCAACCCTTTGAACCACCTGAAAGTCATGCAGTGAGCTTTGGGGTCCCAGCTGTTGCTAGCCATCACCCATCTGGAGTGGGTCTTTGGTGCTGTGGCTGTCTTTGAATCATTTCTGTTCCTGTAAGTAACTCCAGTAAAACTCATCGGTTCACCAAATTGGATTTAGGTGGCACCCTTATTTTGGTTGCTGTTGGTTTCCTATCTGGGGTGAACTGTCATTTCTTCTCATTTTCCCAGAAACAGTGTCACACAACACAAACATAGTAGAATCTATTAAGTGATGGGGTGATGGTCAGGGAAGCGACATGGTCCGTACAAGACGCTGCATAACCCCAAGTTCCAGTATCAGTAGCACAAGCAGGAGAAAAACCTATTCAATATTAACAAATTAAACCTGTGCAAGGACATGAGATTTACAAACACTGCTGTGTCTCTTTGTAAAGAGTTTAAGAAGAACTACTAGAGGCAGGCGGCGATGGAAAGGTTGAATTCTTGCTTGAGTCTATAGAAAGAGACTCACACTGCAGCTTCCTCAAACTGCTTGTGGTTGTGAAGGCTCTGCTTGTGTCCCTTCAGTTCCTTTGCCTGGAATCTTCCATGGCTTCTGTGTTCAGCACTCGCCCGTTCTCCAGTACTCACAGAAAATCCTTCTCCGACACAGTTTCGGCTCGCATCTCTCCCTCCCAAAGCTTATCAGTCTGACCCAGATGGAGGTGCTGGGGTGCCCTTCATTTTCCTCCCTGTTTTCTTACCATATAGCATTGCTATTTGGGATATTCCTTCTTTTACACTTTGTGAATTGCTTCAGGGTATAATTATATTTTTTATTATTATTATTTTATAACCCATGTTTCATGGCACATGAACTTGGAATGTTCATTAATTTTTTTGTGAATGAATGAATGAGTAAATAAATAAAATGAGTTACACGTTTAGATATTAGAGCACGGCATATGGGAACTCTGCTGGATTCTCAGTTTCCTGGGAATTTTCCATTCCTCTTATAGAGAATTTGAGGTGAACAAATCTACTGACCCTGAACAGCCCTGGCTCAGAATCAAAGGGAACCATCTGGAAGGCTGAGTTCAACAATAGGAAGTGGCTAATCACACACTTATCTCTTTCATGTTATTTAGTTACCAAGATTGCTTCCAAATTTGTTCCAAAGATTCTCTCTCTCTCTCTCTCTCTCTCTCTCTCTCTCTCTCTCTCTGTGCGTGTGTGTGTGTGTGTATGTATGTATGTGTGTGAGCGTGTACACGTGTGCGTGCACGCACGCTTGCACACGTGTGTGTGTGCGCGCACACGCGCACACACACACACACACACGCACCCGCGTACAAGTTGTTTGCCTGCTTTAAAGGCCAGTGATGATGTTTCGATTCATACAGCGGCCAGCACAAGGCATTAACATTCCAGGGTGTTTTGCACATGTTTACCATTTACCATTTGCACAGTATAACATCTAGCAAATGCACAAAGCAAACCATGATTACTGTATGTAGCATGAGGCTAACAGATGGGAGTCTTTTGTTAGGATGAGATTTACAGATCTTGCCAAAAAAAAAAAAAATACGGGGGACGCTATATGAAGATAAACATAGAACAATTTTTGAGAAAAATGCATGCTACATGTTGATATTTATGGCAAAAGGAGAAGATGTCACAAAATAGCATGTTTTATTATTTTATGAAAATGTCACAAAATAACGTGTTTTATTATTTTATGCTTAATATGAAAAGAATTGTCTTATCATTTGCATGTTATGCTGTTTCTCCCTTGGAAAATCCAGAGGAATCAACTGGAAACCAGTAACATCAGCAGCATAGTAAGGAAGTCAGAGAAAACTTCAAAATCAATAATTGTCTTAGGAATGAACATTAAGCTTAAAAATGGAAAGTTTTCATTAGTAGTAGTAAGAAATCTATGCTCTTCCTAAAAAGAATCTGAAAGGGCTTTGTGTGCCCTTCCTGAGGAGCTGTCTTGGACAGATGACAGCATATTAATCTGCAATCTGCCCTTTAGTCTCCCAGTGCCTTTCTTCAGCTTCTAGTCCATGTCTGGAGATGTCTATAAAGCAGAGAGAGCTAAATGGTTATGGCAGGTCTTTTGTGACCTTAGAGCCCGCCCCCAGTGACACAGCTCTGCCAACGAGGCTACCCTTGCCTACCCTTCCCAAACAGTTCCACCAACTGGCGACCAAGTATTCAAGTATATGAGCCTGTGGGGCCCATGCTCATTCAATCCACCACAGCTGTGAGATTGATACCACCATTTTTGCTGCCACAGGGATCACTCGGTTTGTCTGATACAGCCCTAACAACTTCCTCCAACTCCTAGCACCCCCACCCCCACCTCTGGAAACCACCAATCGGTTGTCTAATTACATAATGTCATTTCCAGAATGATCTATAAATGGAGTCATGCAGCATTTTGAGACTGACGCTGTTCATCCAGCCTGGCTCCCTAGGCTTT